TTCAGAGTTGGTAAGTCTTGGCCATTAGTGGAGATACTAACAAAAACACCTCAAAGTTCGATTTCTTCCTCTTTTCTCTTTTTAAGAATTACCTTTAGTTTTCCTGTCCTGGGCTAAAACTTCTCTGGGATGTTTTCCCAGTGCATATTTTAGATGATTGTATTTATGCCTTACAAGAGCAATCACCAATGTTATAGAAGAGGTGGGCAAAACGGTTCTGATGTGACTCTCTCAAAGGTGATGGTTACTTCTGCAGTCAGCACTTCTGACTGCAAAAAGTGTCTGTTTCTACTCTGGATGAAAATGTTTAACACATAATTTTAATTTTTGGAGGTAATTTGAAAATAACTCCTAGCTTAACTTCTGTTAATTCCTCAGTTTGTTATCTGTTCCAAGCGTATTAGGCTATCAGGAAGATCTCTGGGAAATGGATGGTAGACCTTCCTCAATTAAATAAGGGGTTGGTCAACACTACTGACTGTAGAACCATTTCTTTTTCCAGACTTGACTGAGGAACACGTTTTTATTGTGAGTTTATCCAACTATTGACGAATCCATCCATCTATAGAATGTGCTTTCTTTAAATACCTAAGATTAATTTAGCCCCAAATAACATGACAGAGAAATTAAACACATTTTTAAATTATTCAAGTCAAGAATACCCTATCCAGATTAATTCACTACAGCAGAAACACTCTGGTTTGTCACCTTGTTCAAGCCAATCACAAAACTGAACATGTATTAAAACAATTTTTAAATATGAGCACTTATTTTTACCCCCACACAGAAACAATGTAACTTTAGTCCCACTAAAATAAAACAGAGCTGTAAAAAACCATTTCCTTTATCAACAAAGGAAAAATATTCCTGTACATCTGACAAGAAAAGATTCCCTAATTCCACAGCTCTTCCCTGACTGACCTGTTCTTTAAATCTTTAAATGAACTAATACAGGAAGCTATTGTTTTTTCTGAAATGTAAGACATGACGTATGCAAACATAAATCTGTAGGGAATCATATAACTTGCTGACAACTTTTGCATGCTTAAATAGCTCCTAAATACAAGTCATATCCAGAGGAAAAAGCTGCTGCTTGTCTTCACGGAATTTCCTACGAGTATAAAAGCAAATATTTGAAAGTGCTAGAGGAATATCACTGTAACTTGGCACAGACAAACTGAAATGTGGCATTTTCTTGGTTCAGTGACATTATTCTCAGAGCATTTCAGGCAATCCTGGGAAGAGTAACAAAACTGCCCAGATAGTGTTCATACAGCATGGCCTAATTTTATTCATGTATATCCCTAAGAGAGTATAAAAAGTCAGACCCTTATCCCTCTTGCAATTCTGCTTCTCAGAGATTTTTCACCTAAGTGCAAAACTGAACCTGCTGCCATCAAGGTGGAGGCCACCTGGGTCTTCCTTCTGTCACCTGTCACATCCATTGAACAACAACAGTGCATGGGCCAGACATGCCAGCAGGATAAGGTGGGAGATGAAAAGACCTGACAAGAAAAGCCAGCTCACATTGGGAAGTACCTCTCTGGTGAGGGGGAATAAAAAAGGGAAACAAACCTCCCAAATTCTCATCCTTACTGTGCGCAGTCAGGCATCTTAGAGAGTTCAGTAAAGAAGACAAGAACGCAAATTATTCTGTGCTATTCACAGAGACAACCTAGTGGGATTTTCAGAGCAGGAAGCATAAATATATTTCCTCCTTCTTTTTCATTTCAGACCTAGAATAAATACAACTTACAGCCGAGGAAAAAGTGCTCCTTCTTAACAATGCAGACAGGCAGCTCAGTGTACAAGGCACAGAGCACTTTTTGTTGTTACAGTGCTTAGCACGTTGCTTCGCAGTTTGTAGTATTACCTCCTCATCCCAAAAATTCACCCCCATGCTGGAGCATTGAGATGAAACTAAAACCAGCTGCACTGCACAGAGCCGAAGGGTCACCTGAACTAGCATCTTGTATCAAACATCATTCAGAGGACTGTCACTGTCACAGGCATCCACAAACACTTCCCTGCTTTACAAACTCTCTGAATTTCTAGTGGCCAGTCTTCAGATTTTGATCCAGATGTGTTACTTCTGCATTTTATCCCTCCATGGGCTTTGCTTCCATTAACGCCTCAGTCATTTTGCACACCCATGAAAGCAACCTGTATGGCCAGTTTTGCAGTTTAAGCATGCCAGGCATGACAAAATGCTTGTTTTCATTTCAGACAGGTTGCCTCCCTACTACTTCTATCAACAGACAGACCTTTCCCACACCACTCCTGAATTCACAGATCCCTGTTACATCTTCTTTCCCATCCAGAAGAGTCCCAGGCAATTCCTTCTCAAATGTGCTGTCATGACACAGCTTTGACTACTTTGATCCTCGTGTCAGTTTTGCCATCTGTTTGCAGCAGAGCAGACCTGAATTTTACACGACATTAAGACCGAACCGCACCACAAATTTACATGGCATAAAACTGTTTTCTGTTCTACTCTTTACCTCCTACTGAGTCAATCCTAGCACTTGCCTGACCTGCTGCTGAGCAATGAGCTGCTGTTTCCATAGAATTACCTAGATAACTCCAAAATCACATTCCTACACAGCAATAGCTACTTCAGAGGCCTCAGCTGCTGGTAAATTGAGAATGAAACATTCTTTCATATATTATTTTGCATTTACATTATTTTAGCAAATGCTGAATTACATCTTCCATTTTATCAGACACTATCACGAGATTGTTCTACTTTTAACACTTCCCCTTTTTGTTATTTTCGAGAACCCAACGTTAAGTGCAAACACTACGTTACAGTGTACCTCTCTTTAACTGGTCAGTTAAGTACCTGCTGAGCAGCTGAGTCCTGCCGGACTCCTTTAGCAGCCTCCACGTGTTGGGAATACTGGTAATTTATTCCTTTACTCTTTACTGTTCTATTTTGCAAACAGGCCTCTAACAGTAAGGGACCTCCACGTTTCAACCAGCACCTCACTGTTTTTAAAGATACTTCAACAAGAGCCCGAGTCTGAACACCTGGCTCTATGCAGAATACATCAACCTGGCCTTGTCTACTGGGTGAAGCTTCCAAGAACTCCACTGACTACAAGGCAAGGGCTCTGCCCATACCTAACTACTCACACTACTCACTGTTTTTACACTGTTACCACCTGCTGAGGCTTAAGCTTCTCTCTCCAGTTTCCTGTGTAGAAGGGGGGGAAAAAAAAAAGCATGTACAGGTTTTCTTGTTCTACCTCTTTGACTTACCTATTGCATCTTTTCCCCATATTTTTCACATTTGTCCATTTCTATTTTCCTAACTTAAGACACAAAATACTAATGAGGACAAAGGTTTCTTCCTCTTGTGCGTTCTCTAGCTAGCTCCTCCATGGAAAAAAAAAAAATATATTGTCCAATGAAACAGTGAACCAATGCTTTCACTCAAAAATGAAGTTTTATTTGGATTTACAATCTCCGCACCATTTTAGGTACGATTATCACCAGAGTGAGGGATTTGGCTATATATGGTTTTAATTCTCAACTGCCTCATGTCTTAGCCCTAGAGACTTAAGACAGTCCAAGGGCTGTCTAGATTACCTGTTGCTTATTTAACTTCAGTTCATAGCACGGCACCAGGTTCCAACAGAACAAAGAGTTTGTCATCTCCATGGCCTCAACAGCCTCACTTAAAACCAAGTATTCTAGTCCTCAAGTGGTTTTTTAGACTGCTATTTCCACAGAAACAAATACACAGTGGGTTCGGTTCCCAGTTTTAATGGAACCTTAGTTACACCGCTCTTTGCTGTTTATTTTCACCCATTTCTATTCTATTCTTTTACCAAAGTCTACTTATCATCCATAATCATGTTTTCATTCTTAAACATCTACTATTATGCAGTTTATGAATTTAAAATGTTGACTTTTTTCACTTTTAAATAAATATTGTGACAGAAGCCTGGTTTCGTTTTCATATAGATACAAGCCTGCATTTTCTGCACATACTCCTATTCCTAACAAGCCTAACTCCTTACTTCCTTGACACTGTTTGAGTAGTCGTGCACTGTAACACGGCTCCTCTCCCTCTCTTCTCATCTGCATGGGTTTGGAAAGCTACCGTGGTCATGATCTTCCAGCCTGACAGCCAGAAGAGCAACCCAGTGCTAAAGTCTTCCATTC